TACTAAAGTAATACATTGTTTTTATCATATGAACTCAATGTTTGTCTTACTTTCTGACAGACAAACTACACGTCTTTATGACCAGGCAACACGTTTTGAGATCTACAAGAGGTCATTTTGACACAGTCTAAAATGAATCTCAAAAACACTACATGAAATAAAGGATCTTTTATGTTTGTTTTTTTAAGGTGTTAGCTAGGGGTCATCATATGGATCTAAAATACAAAGTTAATTAACATCGTTTGAAAAAAGCATGTAACAGAGGTAAGTGTTTTCCTTTGTACAATGAGTCTCAGTAGTCTGAACTGATGCACTGTTTACAACAGAGTAAAATGCTTTGTTAGAACCAAAACACTGGCTTTAGTGTTGTTTGTGTCTGTGCACTGCTGAATGCAAAATATGTTGGGTGTGAATAAGATTAATATAATCTGACTGCAAATATTTCTGATTGTCATCCATTTAATCACAATGGGAAGAAGAATGGTGTATATTTAACATTCACAACATGAAAGCAAGTGAAAGTTCAGACACGAAGTTAAACACTAACACATCTTTCACAGCATCAGGTGGGTGGTCTGGACGATCAGGGTGGCACCATCCACCAAAACCCGACTCGTTTTGTTGTTGCACCATTCATACTACTTCCTTTTCATCCTAAAAACCACACACAGGAAACGGCATTCTAGAAGCGCTTTTTATTCGCTCACATAACCAAGTTCACACAAAGCGTTTTCTTTTTCAACTTCTCATATGCCCCTAAAATAAGAGAGGTACCCACATCTTTGAGCTCCTCGCAAACCTGTGTCCTTCAACTATAGAGAGCTTTTGGACTTCCACACCAGGCGAAAGTCTGCCAGATAGTTGTTAGTTGGGCGAGTAACCCGTCTGTAACCATGAAAACTGTCACTGTGGTTGCAGACACAATGAACAAGAAATCTACACTGCTCCATGTACATTCACTGTGTCACATCTGTGGCTCATTAAATGATTTTTTGTGTGTGTGTGTGTGTGTGTGTGTGTGTGTGTGCTTAAAGGACAACCTTTTCTAACCTGCAGGGAAATTCTATACCAAACATATTGGTTGCTAATAAATAAAAGCAGACAAAACTGGTTCAAATAATAATAAATAATACTGAAAGCAGCAATTATGAGGCCAAGAGCTGGAAGGAATTTGATTTACATTTGCAAAACTGGGCTAGTTAATGAATTCAGGATTCTGATCACTAGACTAGATTTTTAGCTATCGAACCACATTGCCACAACTGATAGTCGCAGAAAAAAAAAAAAGGTTTTGAATACAAAACTTCAATTGAATAGCTGCTGAATAACAGGATACTCTTGAAAATAATCAGAGCCAAATATGGAGAAAACTGGAATACATTTGTAAGAACAGCAACAAACTTGGTGATCATTAGTAGGTTTTGGCCCAAAACTGCTCAGGTTGCTTCAAGACATGGTATCAGTGATTTCAAAGAATCAGGAGGCCAAATGGTTTAACTTCAGGCCAAATTGTTCAAAAGTTATAAGCAAATACTTTTGACCAGTAGGTTGTAGATTTTCCTTGAATGAACTGCGTAATTCAACCAAAAAAAAATCTGTATGACTTTTCCTTTTTCTGTGGATCATAAAAGATGATGTTTTGAAGAACGTTGGGAACCAAACAACACTGGAGCCCATTGACTTCCTTTGTGTCTCAAAATGTCTTTTAAGTCCCACAAAAGAAAGCCAAACAGGCTTGGAAGTACATGAGGGTGAGTAAATGATCACAAAATTAGTTTTTAGGTGAACTATCCATTTAACTGATCTAAAGATTTGTAAGCAGCACATTTTTTCATCAAAAATCCAAGATGGCAGCTAAACTAATAGGTACTAAAGTGTCTGACAAGCTCAAAATTGGTTTAAGGGCTTCTATAGACAGACAAATAATAATAATAATAATAATAATATGAAAACCAACACATAAAATAAGACATGTCCAAAACTTCCCTGCTTGATCGGTGACAACTACACATTTGGGCCTTTATATTCACAATCCATGGATCAAAACCAAGTATGTAAATAGTGCAATAGACAGATCTGTGCAACTTAGCGTTTAGTGCTAATTCACAGTGGAAGATGAAGATTGACAAATTCAAAACCCAAAAGCCTCTGAAAAAACATCTCCCTTTTTCTTTCTGTTGCATGGATTGTATTTACTCAGAGAATGCAAAGCAAGCCTGCAGAGATTGAGTGTGACGGCAGTGTGAGCAGCAGTGGCAGTGCAATAAACTTCAGACCGTCCATAAAGCAACAAATATCTTCAAGTTATGCAAGCAACTAATAACCCCAAGCAGACAACAGCTATAAGAGTGACCGAATAACTTGAATATCTCCATATTATCATTTCTCAAGCAATGAGGAAAAAATGGAGCAAACTTCCCAAAAATGCTCCACATTTTCCATCAGTTATTGTCAAGACCAAATAATCTATATTCAGACCAAGTCAAAATGAATCCAACTTACTTCATTAAGAAAAATCCTGGCCTCATTGCACATCATTCAAAAAAAAAAAAAAAATGTTGTCCTCATAAAATGTGTAACAACTCAATGTGCCTATGAAATGACTTTCCTTTTTGCTGACGTCACTAAGCACTCTTATATTTAAGCCCGGCCCTTCACCACCTGTCTCCATTTTGGCATTTAACGCTCACTTTTCACAATTAAATCTTGGAAAAATTCAAATATGAATGCCATTTTCCATTTCCTGGCCTCATTGCACATCATTAAAAAAAAAAAAAAAAAATGTTGTCCTCATAAAATGTGTAACAACTCAATGTGCCTATGAAATGACTTTCCTTTTTGCTGACGTCACTAAGCACTCTTATATTTAAGCCCGGCCCTTCACCACCTGTCTCCATTTTGGCATTTAACGCTCACTTTTCACAATTAAATCTTGGAAAAATTCAAATATGAATGCCATTTTCCATTTACCTTATGTGAAACCTCACTGAGAATTCAATAAATCTCCTGAGCTATGAAAAGAATCAGATCTAAGCAATAACATTTGTCTTTGGGAAGCTAACATTTGTTGCTAAAGCTAAGATCTGCTGCTTACCACGTGATGAGCCTCCCAAAGGCTTCACACACTGGGGATCCGATTCGACAGCATCACAGACAGCTTGTCCTCATCTAATTTCATCTCTCAGCTACATCAGTAATGATAAATGCTGAGAGGGAAAAATTAAAACCAACATTTTGCCGTCGGTTTACCATTTTGGCATTCGCACACAGCTATCCGATGGCTCAACTAAGGTTACACGGTAAAACATGTCTGATGTGTGGCTTCATATTAAGTGCTTCAAAGACCTGCCATTCACAACCACAGATCTCCACTTACCACTCTCAGGCTCGAGAGCAGCACTTAGGCTTGTGCTTTCCAAGAAACTAAACATCTATTCGGAGTAGCACAGCACTGCATAACAGATATTCCTATATTGCACAATTTCCTCTTGTTTTTACACTAAAAACCCGAGCAAAAAGAAACACATGTGGAATATGTGTTTGTGATGAAATGAGCTAGTCTAGCGTGACTAGGCCCAGAAGTCTGTATTACGCACAAACAAATTCAATACACGCATGGACGGCCTGATATTTATAGTCCAAAAGGGCGGCTTTCTCTAAAGGCAATTGTCCGAACTCAAAACATGACTGTAATGGAACGATTCTTCCTGTTTTCAGGTCTGTTAGGAGGCTGTTTTGTTCAGAGGAAATTTCCCAAAGGGATTGATGAAGATGTTAAAGGCAAAGTGCGTAATTTATTTTTTTCTGCAAATGGAATTGCAAACAGGTTACTCGAAAGTTCGTCCCCATCTCCCATTGGTCGGTCAAACTGCTAGTCCTGCCCCAAACTCAACCCATTGGCTGATTGTGTAGGGTTGGTTGGGATGCTCAAACAATGTTTTTTATGTTGTTGCATATGAAGTTGGGTTTGTAAAACGTATTTTAACAGAAAATTAACATATCACGTTTAAAGGCTTTAATGTAAGGGAAACATGAATTTGCTGGCTTAACGAGGATTTTAAAAGGTCACGTGCTTCCTTTTAAAACAGCGGAAATTTGTCGCTACCCTCCATGGCCCTGACTAACAATCTGGCAGCACGAATCTCTGAAGTCAAAGATAAGTGCATCCATTCACACTGGCAGTTTGACAGCCTTTGGAATAGCATTGATTGAAAAAGTTAACATTTATGTAATCAATGAAATCCGAGTTTCTATGGCTTTAACCTATTTCAGCTGAACTGTTCCCGAATCTATTGCAGTATGACAGCATAAGGAATAGAATTAGTTCTCTGAAAAGGTCTATATTGAAAACGCGCACACAAACACACCAATATTTATAATAATAACATATTTGGGCAATAAATCCTATATAAATTCTAGATGCTAAATTTATATATAGCAGTAAAATAGCTGAGGTGCTCGAAGAAAAAAAAAGAAACAATCATTTTGGGAACCTTCAGTATAAATAAACCGAAATAAAATGAAAATGAAAATTCATAAAAATAAATTAATTTTAAAAATAAGCAAAATAAAATACACTTTTAGCAGTGGATCCGTTTGGAAAGGAAATCGTGTACTGAGAGCTAAACAACTTCTGATGGAAAAATAAATAATAAAATAAAATAAAATAAAATAAAATAAAATAAAATAAAAATAAAATAAAATAAAATAAAATTAAATTAAATTAAATTAAATTTAATTAAAATGCACATTCAGAAGTAAATCTGTTTGGAAGGGAAATCATGAAGAGCTAAACAACTTCAGATGGAAAACAATAAAATAAAATAAATAAAATGCACTTTTAGAAGGAAATCTGTTTTGAAGGGAAATGGAGAGCTAAACAACTTCTGATGGAAAAAAAAATAAATAAATAAAATGCACTTTCAGAAGTAAATCTGTTTGGAAGGGAAATCATGGAGAGCTAAACAATGTTTTTTTTTTAAATTATTATTGTAATATATTGATCAAAGTAATAGCACTACTGCATAAAGTATGTCTAAAGGGACTGCACTACTGTTTTCAAGCAACGGAACTGCACAGCAAAATGACTGACCACTCTAAGGGCACTGAGGGGTCGTGCTACTGTAATATTCAGACCCTGTGGTCAATACCTACAGTACAGTACAAGGCAACTAAGATCTACAGGCAGTAGGTCTGGTCCGGATGGGTGCAGTGCATTCGGATGGGGTGAATAGGGGGTGTAAGAACCAACCTATTGGATTAGTTTCACCATCATTGCACTTTGGGAGATCGTATAAGGTGCACGGGTTGTATCTAATCTTATATTCAAAGGTCACTGGGCAGCAGCAGACAAACATGTAGGCCACATTTTGGAGGAAAAAAAAAACAAAGAGAAAAAAAGAAAAATAATAATAGTATCCAAAACATGATCTGTAATTCTATTTATAATGGAGGTTTACAAAATTTCAAAGTACACATGAAATAATTCTGAAAGAGGGCAGTGCATCAGAGTTCTTCCGATTCCGTACATCTTTCCCATTATCCAGAGACCTGGTCAGTGAAGAGGTGAGCCATGTGACCTGCGTCTAGACAAGCATGTGGATCTCATTGTATTCATCGCGTCCATCTTCATCAAAATTGGGCGAATCCTCATCAGCATCCAACTGCAAGAACAAAAACTGCATTTTAAAATGAAATCAACACCAGGTGGATTTTCTCAGCTGACTGCTTGTGTTCAGATCATCAGACAAACATGAATACAACATGAACTCACCGCTGCAAGCTCTCTCTCCTCAAAGATCCTGGTCAGGATGAGTCTACGCAGAGGTACGGTCATGATTAGGATGAAGGGAAAAGCCAGAGAGGCTACAGTCGACTTCACCACCCACAGCAGGGTGATACACAACAACTGAATGATGGTGAACATATTCATACGCCATGTCTTCACCTGTATGTGAAACAAATCATGCAATAAGGAATTACAATAAGGTCTAGTGAAAAGATTCTATTTTGCATTTTTCTTGTAAATTGTCAGACACAAATTTGCTTATTTCATAAGTGACCTAGAAATAGTGCTTATTTATTTTACCTCCTAACATTTCTGTTTTAATTTTTTTTACATTTGTTTATTTCTAAGTTTAAATTAGATGTTCAATCATAGATTTTCAATGTATTCTCAGAATTTTGGACCCCACTGTACATGTGAATAATATACAGTGTTCAAATTTGTCAAATATGGTTTGTAATTTAAATTTTTAGGGTTGTGTTAAAAAGTGCGAAATGAACTGATGATTTGTGCGCCACCTTGTGGTGCTTCAAAAGCTTTCAAACAGAATCCACGTCAATTTAGTACAAACTTCTAGCATCTACCATGTAGAACACAAACATAGATAATAAGCTGTCATCGTTGCCATCACTACTACCTCAAAGTCTCAGGAAAAAGTGGTTACCTTGGTAACATAGATGTGGTCAGGGTGATGTTTAGCGGGTGTGACCATGAGTGTGATTCGCTCATAAAGCTGGATACCAGTAAGAGACGTGATGCCCATGTACAGAAATATTCCAAACAGCACAGCCAGAGGAATATGTCGCAGCACATCTGTCATCACTATAGACAACCCTGCACAGAGGTGATGGGATTGACAGAATAAAGATTTTTTCCCCCAATTTAATTTAATTTAATGTAATATTATTCTTTGAAAAATTTTAATGTCAAGTAGGAAACTTGAGTAGTCTGAAATATAAAACAGATGTTGTTGATACAGCAATAATCCACTCAAAACCATGCGTTACAGTAAGTTTACCATGGTTTTACTATCACATATGCACAACATGATGCTGAGTATGAAAAATGGAAAACTTATTTTAAACTGCAATAATATTTCACAAGATTACTGTTTTTACTGTATTTTTACATAAAAAGCTTCTTACCGACTCCAAACTTTTGAGCAGTAGTATATATAGAATACATGGTCACAGGTGCACTAACATGGCTCATCCAGTTAGTTTTCTGTCAATATCTGTTTTATAAATGTGTGTGTGTGTGTGTGTGTGTGTGTGTTTCTTACCCACTAGGATAGCCACACACATCCCTGTCACCCTCTGCTCTTTAACTTCTTGGATCATGGGCTTCTCTCCGGGGGCAGTGGCTTTGCTCATGACTGTCAGTGCATTCACGTGAGTCACCGAGCGCACAGTGGCGGCAGTCAGCCAGGGCAGACCAAAGAGCGGGCAGATAGCTCCCAAAGTCACTATCAGAAGCAGGTCGAGATGAAAGCCAGAACCCTTGACCAAACGCCGCTTCTTCTTGCTCACTATCAAGCTACAGATGGGACAAATTGATGCAATAAATGCAATGAGCCACAGAACCATTTGAATTGTATTGCATTTCCATCTGAGCTTAGACAGAACATCGCAAGATCTGTTAGCTTACTCACGTGGTGATTTGAGTCTCCATGAATATCAGGATAAAAACCAGCAGTGCCGGGATCACTGAGGCCCCCATCATCCAAACAGGGAAAGGCTGTTTATCTCCAAACGGGCTGACAAACCAGCTCCGTTTGTCCGGAGATGTGACCGAGAAACCAGAGGGGACGTTCAGCTTCTGCAACCACAAAAAAACACAAGTGCTCGTATCCCAGATATCCCAGGATTCATTGGTTACAGTGCTCTGCCAAACCAACCACACTGTAATACAGCCTCGGAAGAAACCTGCCTCCAATTACAGGCCAGAACTTAATAAGAAGAGTATGCTGGGAGAGGAATTTCTTTGCTGTAATATACATATACTGCACGTGAGAGTTTAACAGTGCGGTTACCTGTGTGTATGTATCAGGAATGGTGCAGTCCACCAGCACAGAGATGAGTATAGAGATAGGAATCCCAAAATCACCAATAATTCGTCTGGCCTTTGATAATAACAGATGATACACACACAAACAGAGGATGCCAAACTTTTTAGTCAGCTCAAAATGTTTGCTCACAAGGAATCCTAACCACAAAAAAATCAAGTTTGTAATCAGCAATTTTGTTGCTTTTCAGTAAAACTAAATTAATTTATTTGAGAAACACACACACACATATGTATGTATATATATATATATATATATATATATATATATATATGGTCAATATATGAACTAATTAATCACTTTTCAGTAATTAATCACTATTAATCATGCCTAACATTCAAATTTGTAATCATAAACATATTTTTACATTATTGTAGAATCTCCAAATTATTGTAGAAACAACATAAAGACTGTATATTTAACATTTTTGTTTAATGGTAACTTTTTTTAGTACTAAGTTAAAAAGTTAAGTACTTACGCAGAGTACTATGTACTTAAATACTATGCATGAAGGCAACTATTACAGATACCAATACTGATGCCTCTATTAAATTGATTTTTTTTATCAAATAGATTTTTTTTAAATCAATTTCTGTGGATAAAATAAGTAAATAAAGCCATTTAACAACAGTAAAATTTGTACCATAATTTTTAACATTTAATAAGCTTAAACTGTTACTAGGGCTGTGCAATATTGAAGAAAAATGCGATATGCGATACCTTGTTAAATAATGTGATATTCAATATGCGATATGATATTGCTTTAAGTGCGTGAAATCAATTTAAATTATATTTAAAAATATTTAAAGACTGAAAATTATATAACCAATTTATATGTTTCACATTCTTTCTTGGAAAAGAAAGCATCGCTATAACTTCTAAAAGTGACCAGCAGTGTTTTAGCATTACATAAAAAGTAATGTCACAAATCTGAAAACGTAATTTTAACATCAATATAAAAAAAAAAAATAATAATAATAAAATATATAATGCAAGTATTTAAATACTAAAAACTCTGCTCAACTTGGTAATAGGGTTGGGCGATGTCTACAAATTTGTCGCGTCCAGTGTAGACAGACTTTAGCTGATGCGGCGCGGCACGACAACTGTCGCTTCCGGTGTAGACACAGTGTAATGGTTGCCTGCTCAACATCGTGATGTCTATCAGCCATCGGCGATTGGCCCAACCCTATTTGGTAATATATAGTTATATCAACCTAAAACTTAACATCAAGATCATCCAGGTAAACAAAAACACCTGAAACTAGGCGTGGACGATTAGTTATTTTTGTTATTTTAATTTATCTTTGTTATTAAAAATAAGAACTACAAACAATAGGACAAAGATACAAATACTATAAAACAAAGATACAAATGAAATAAACAGTGCTTTAAGTCTTTCAGGTAAGCCTACATTAGATATATTTAACAGTAGCATTCAAGTAAGAAACAATACAGAAACTGAATAATCAAATGTACAACTAAAACACTGCATAGTCTTCACATGAATTAATTATACTTTGATTCATAATAAAGCTACAAAGGTTATTTCAGTCTATTCTCTTATTTCAACCTAAAACTTTGACTTTTCGCAACGTTTTAAAGCTGCCTAAATAATTCAGATATCACATGCCACTGTGATATGCATATCGCGATACGTAAATTTGCGATATTTCGATATATCATGTAGCCCTAACTGTTACAGAGCATTAAAAATATTTGAATTTAAGTAAATTTTGTATAAAGCCATTATACGTAATAAATGTCACACAAATGAGCACAGCTGATACAGCACAGCACGCTGATTTAATTGTGCTGACAAAATAACACTGCACTACATACCTTTCCACCAAGGAATCTGCTGTTACGAAATTTTCGCAGAAAGAAGGCCACAAAGAAGGTTCCCATCATGAGCACTAAGGACAGCAGGGCTGTGTTTGGCTGGTTGAGGATGGGTTTCCCAATCACACTATGCCCTTGAGGGTCTATGGGTTTGAAGGCAGGCAGTACAGGAGCTGGAGGGTAGCTCTTCATCAGAGGGTGCTCTTGAAACACCTGAGGAAAAATAACACAATTATTTGTATAAATCTCATTTGGATTCACGCATCTGCTAAATGAATACAATTAAATAAATGAGCATGTTTTTTCACACCTTGCAATAAATACAAAGTTATGTCATGAAACTCTAGATGGTGCAGGCTTAATCTGCTAGTAATCACATCGTTATCTACACGATGCACCTTCCACCTTCCCCAGCTCCACCTGTATAGATCTGCAACGAATCATTTCATGTATGTTATATGTGCAGCAGCATTTCTTATATGCTCACAGCAGCATGTCTGTGGATGTATTGGCAGTATCAAGTCTCGGTACGTGCTCTGTCAAGAACATTAACATTGCCACATAAATTACCATACTAACCTTTCCGAGAGTTGCCATGACAGAACTGTAAAAACTTCCAATAGCACTCAATAATTGTTTCTTGCTGCCCACATAGGCAGCATTTTAATTGAAATTCAAACTCTTAAGTGACTGATTTGGAGCACTCGTCATCATCAGAAACTCTGTGCATCATACAAATAGCAATCCTTTTAAAACTGCATGGTAGATTCAACTTGCAGTTACATGTTGCTAAAAGGCACAATACTCTAATAAGCATAAAATTATGCAGCACAAAAATATTGGGTAAAGTAGTGAATTTTAACTAGATTTCTGTTTGTAAAATAGTCAATTTTAATCAGATTATTTAAAAAACTTAATTAAATTAGTTATAATAACAGTTAAAATATAATTACCTTACACAACACAAAAATGTTGGGTTAATAGTCCATTTTAATTAGAATCATGTTTTTAAAATAGTCCATTTTAATTAGATTTATGTTTTTAAATTCGATATTTAATTGACACTTTTTGATAATCAATACATTATTCATGTTTAACATTTCTCTCATTCACCTTAGAAGACGTTTTGTTGCAGTGCATTATGGGTTTGCCTTCTCAGTGCATACAATGCTGCCTTTGAATTTGGCAAAAAGGAGATACACTCCTTTTAAAACAGCCTACACATCTGAAATACCTTAAATACACCTCTGACATCTTAAAATGCTGTCTAGCTAGGCAGCTCACTAGGTCTTAGAGTAGTATAGCTTGCACCTGCTGGTTTTGGTTACTTTAAATCTGTACCTTAATTAGCTTAGAGAAGGTTTCATAGATGAAAATGAGAGAGATGAGAAACGCAAAGATCTCCTGGGTGAATGGAGAGATGTAGCGCACAAGGAAGCTTCCCTCAGCTGCCACGATCACTAGGACAATGAAGATGAGCCAGAACCCGATCCACACTCGGCCCGTGAGATATTCGAAGCCCTGCGCCTGGCAGAACTGATAATGAGGAAGAACAAAGAAGGAGCAGCAGGAAAGGCAGCAGATGGAACAGAGAGGAACAGGAAGATAGAAAGGCAGACAAATGTTAATGTAATCGAATGACCTCCTTTTCTTCATAATGGTTGAAACATAAAGACAAAAAAAGTACCTTATAAAAAGCCTCCTCAAAGACCAAAAGTGGTCCAGAGAAGCCAATTATGAGCAAAGGCTGTCCTGCTAGCAGGGAGAACAGCACTCCCACTGTCGCCGTGGAGATGATGAGCTCAGAGACTCCCATCATGCCTTGTGTCTTCTCACCTAAATAAACGGGAATATGGAATTATAGTATGGAAGCACATTTCTGTCACCTAAATAAAAATAATTCATGCTTTGGTAAATCATAATTATGACATATAGTCAAAAGTCAAAATAGTCATAAAAATCAGCATTATGACATACTTAGCCATAATTATGAGATTTAAAAAAAAAAATCTAAATTATGACATTAAAACTAACAATTATGGCAATTTCATAATTATGACTTTTTATATCATAAAAATAAGACAAATGATTAAGAACAAAATGAAATAGAGAAATCAAACTGAAGAGATATCCATAATTAAGACATAAGTAAAAATTAAGACTAAAAAATAATTAGATAAAAAGTGAATTATGACAAATTCAAAATTATAATTGAAAAGGCACAAAAGATTGAGACGCCAAAATTATGAAAAAAAAAGACATTGCTGACTTACAAGCTCATCATGACTTTTTATCTCATAATTATGACATAAAAAGTCAAAATTATGACACTTTTAGTCATTTAGTATGTCAAAGTTATAATTAATAAAATCATAATTATGAGATAAAAAGCAACAATTGACATGCCAGGTCATTTTTATGATATAACAAGTCAAAATAATGACAAACTATGTTATAATTATGACTCTTTTCATCTCATAAATAGTACTTAGTATGTCAATTTCAACTTTTTGTGTCTTTTTGTGTTTTTGGGCTTCTATACTAAAAGACTCCACTGTCAAAGATAAAAGATAAGTTGAGGGACAACAGTCTCCTTGTCTCACTTGCCTAATAAACCTCCAAAGGTGATAGTGGGTGAAAGAGCAGCAAAGTAAATGAAAATGACAGCAGCAAAACATTGTGTGTCCATGGCATCCTTCAGGTCGCTTATGTAGCGTGGATAACGGCGGCGGATATCGTGGATCAGACCTCCAAAGGGAATACCAGAGCGCTTGAGAGGGTCAACATCAAACTGATCCTCCTCATCCTGTTCATCCGTACTCACATCTACAACATAAACAGAACAGGTCAACATTAACAGAAGAGACAAACTTGAAAATGTAATCACAAATGCAGAAAATATTTCACCTTTGGTCTCCAGCTCAGCTCCCGTCACAGTACTGCCGCATTTTTTAAGCTCCCTCTCCTTGCGCTTACGAAGCATCTGCTTCTGGAAGGAGGCCACAGTCTTCAGCAGGTCTTTTCCCTCAACGTCTGATGGTGGAATTACAATACTGCAGTCTAAGAACTCGTTGATGCCATTAAGCAGGTCCTGTCGATCATCAGCGAAGTACGCGACTTCATGGAAGTTCTGTGGAAGGTCAGGAAAAACAGTGAACCTGAGTGGATTAAAAGTCACAAGGAGATTAATCGTTGCGATAGTTCATCCAAAAATGAAAATTACCCCATGATTTACTCACCCTCAAGCTATTTTAGGTGTGCATGACTATCCATATTTAAAACTTTATAAACTGTAATCTCTAGCTTCCACTAACTGTCGTACGAGCGTTCACGAGAGAGTGGCGTTCCAGTGGATGACGTAGGTGTAGCGTAAGCCCATGTGGGACACTTTTTATGATGGATGGATGCACTTTATTTTGCATCAAAATCTCAACACCCATTCACTGCCATTTTAAAGCTTGGAAGAGCCAGGACATTTTTTAATATAACTCTGACTGGATTCGTCTGAAAGAAGAAATTCATATACACCTAGGATGGCTTGAGGGTGAGTAAATCATGGGCTAATTTTCATTTTTGGGTGAACTATCCCTTTAACAACTTTTGGCAGTCCTGAAACTTCTCATCAGGCCATGGTCCAAATGACACATGCAAAGTTTCATTTCAATATTCAAAAACAAAGCCAAGACAGAGTCCTACTTCTAGTTTTTTAGCGTTGTCATCAAATTTGTAGAATTTTTTTCTTTGGTAATTTTGTGAGGTTTGGTCTAAAGATCATCTGATCACTTTTGTAATTTTGACAAAAAATTAATAAATAAATAAATAAAAAAGGGTTTTCAATAAATTTCAACATGTCGGAGAGGTCATAAGTTGAAACTTGACAAAAAGGGTATCATTTAACTTAGAATGGAGAAATGTGAATTTTGGGCCAAAGAATTTTGAAGTTCTAATTTAATTTTTATGAAACTGATTAAAAGAACCTTCAGGATATAATGCCATTGATACCCACAAAGTTTAATTTCAGTACATTTTAGTTTGCCAATGCATTGGTGAAATACACGCACATTTTGTTTCGTAGCTTTCCAATAAAATTCATTACATATTTATAAGAGAATGGGAAAGAAAATCGGAAATCCATAATTTTTGTGTGGTTTGGTCTTAAGGTCATCTGTCCCAGCTTTGGAGAAGATTGGGAAAATTAGCAAGAGTACCAATGAAAAAAAAATAGTTTTCAATAAAATTCAAAATGGCGGAAAGGTAATAAGGCAAAACTTGACAAAGGGGGTATCGTTTGACTGACTCAAGGAATCTGAGTAAAAGTGTAATTTTAGAAAAAAGGCATTTGGATTAAATTTTTATGTCATGAAACATGAACTAAGCACTCTTAGGGCATGTTGGCACTGATACTCTAGTTTTTCCCCCAATTTGACTAAGCCCAGGGTGCTCATTTCTGTTCCTGGAGAGCTTAATTAGTTGGTTTAGGTGTGTTTGATGAACTTTGCAGGAAGATAGATCTACAGGAACATGAATAAGCACTTCTGGCCTAAGCATCGCAGAGATATATGCTCCATTACCGTTTGCCAGTCCCACCACAATTCATTACAGGTTTACAGGGCAATGGGGAAAAAATCAATTCTGAGATTGTGTGGCTTGGTCTCGAGATCAACTTGAGCATTTTATGAATATACTTTTTTCTACTTATGCCAAGTTACTTTAATATGAAATAATTTATCAGGTAGAAATTGTGAGTGAAAAATATTTTTTAAACCCCTTATTAAGTAAATAACGAACAAATGGAAAAGTCATGGGGCCTTGAACATTGTTGTTGGACTCAAAAAGGCCTTGGACTCTAACAGGTTGAGAACAACTGCATTATAAGATTCCAGATACTGACCACAATATTTCCAGAAAAAGACTGAACAGCAGAAAATGACCAGATACAATTGGTCTCTACACATCTTTGGTGTATGGCCCTAACAACTTGCAAACCATGATACATATTGTACATATATGAAGATGAACCTTATCAGACATGAGGGTGGAGAAGGAGCGTCCAATCTCATGATAGTCCATGTTGGTCTGCGTGGGGCCCAGCAGCACAAAGATGAACCGAACCGGGACGGGGACTTCCAGAACGGACTCCAGCAGCACAGCTTCGTTCAGCCGGACAAAGGCCATCGCGGGCTTCTCTAGGAACTCCACACACCCTATAAACACATTTATTAAGGTAAAAAATCAAACCACACAAACAGGGATCCAGTGACAGAAAATAAACACAACAGAAAGCATTCATCTTCGCTTAGCTGACTGAGGCATTATTGGAAAACTCTGGTGTGATTACTCAACATCTTCTCTGGACCTGAAAACAACAAACACTGGAACGAAACGCTGCTTTGCTTACCCACTAAGACCACAGTGGCCTCGGGATCCTTGGGAATCTTTGCCAGGAGTTTCATAGATCTGGCGGCAGCGTGTCCCTCAGCTGGGACAGGGTGGAGGCTTTTCTTTTGTTGACAGAAGAAAATAGTTAGTGCCATTTGAACGTCACACATCAGCCTCAAGCTGTGGCAGAAAACCTTTGGCAGATAGTGCATGCATAGCTGCCCTCACTCCGATTGTTTATTGTTCCATACGATGGTTTCGTTCATGTGTTCGGGTGACGGTGTGCAAGTACGTTTTGTGAATTTTAATGAACCATTGTGCCTGTTTTGTATCACCGAGCGCAAATCTAAACCTACAGATCCAGGTGACAAAGTGGAAAAGCAAATGGTAAATCACTTTAAATCAATTTAACACAATACGTCTTCACTTTTTATATGGCCTGTTTCAAATGTGCCAACATTTTTAGCCATGGGGAACATTCATAGTTTCACAGTTAATGTATCAAAAGTTTAACTGAAAGCACCTGTAAACTCACTATTACTCTTAATCCTGCACATGAGGCAGAGCAGCTTACATGATCCAAGCGTTAGCGGTGCTGCTAACCAGGCCCAGACTGAATGTGCAGATGCATTTTCACTGCCAAAAAAAAAAAAAAGATCTTCTTGCTTAGTATTTTGTCTTATTTTCCAGTACAAATACCTAAATCAAGATACAATTGAGCAAAATGATTGACATTTTGTAAGATATATCTTAACAAGTCTTGTTTTCTAAAAAAAAATATCAAAATTAAGGGAGTTTTGTTTAAAGGGGTCATATGATGCGATTTCAAGTTTTCCTTTCTCTTTGGAGTGTTACAAGCTCTTGGTGCATAAAGAAGATCTGTAAAGTTGCAAAGACTAAAGTCTCAAATCCAAAGAGATATTCTTTATAAAAGTTAAGTCAACCACGCCTACCTAAAACGGCTCGTTCTAACACGCCCCCACATGTCTACGTCAATATGTGGAAATATTGGCATAATGCCGCCCAAATGTGCACGCAAAGAAAGAAGTGGCGTGGTTTCAGGAACGCAGTAGTGTTAATGCAGCCATGTCAGGGAGAGCTGTGTGTTTCAGTGCGAAAGCAAAAGCACTTTATTTG